CAGTCACGCCGTTCTTGCATTTTTTTTTGGGGGGCGGGAGGGGGGGGGTGCGGCGGGAGGCTGAGACTGAAATGTTTCAACATGTTACGTGTTACAAGCACAGCGTTGAGCCTACTTGCCTTCTGAGGCGTTTTGCGTTTATGATCAGCTCAATTAAGACACAAGAAGTGTGTCCGAATCTAACTTGTCAGCATTTGTTTGAAAAAAGGTGTGTGTGTGTGTGTGTGTGTGTGTGTTTCTACCTTGGCGGTGCCGCCACTCAGATCATCTGACTGATGTGAGCTTTTGGAGATGAAAATTGTTGTCTTGTGACATTTTAATAGAAGCTGGCCCATAATCAGGAACATATCGGCGGTGGCATTCGAGGGCGCTTCTCTGTTGAAGTGGATGTTCCGCCCTGGTAAATGTTGATTGGCCGCTGTACAAAATGCCATGGTGACATTTCAGCCGTCTGCAGCGAGCAGCGGCTTCCCGTTGCCTTGGCCTCAAAGGCTGCGGCCCTCCGCCTCCCTTGCCTTCCCTCCTCATTTTTTCATTTTGGCACTTCACGTTTCCAAAGACGTGCCCATGACGAGTCGTGGACTGGAGGGGGAGACGAGAGAGCTGCCGCCGCCCCCCAAAATCACCGGGATGCATTTCAAAAGGGAACGAGGCTTTTGGCTCCGGTGGGGTTCCGCAGCCAGAGGGCGGGCCCTTGGGTGTCGCATCAGCAATCGCCAGGCGATACCCGAGGGAGAGAGGAGCCTTGAATTCCAAGAGGAGTTGAGCAACAGGTCGCATTCAAAGAGGCGACAAGAGAGAGCGAAGGGGAAAAGCGGGTTTGGCGTCAGCTTGAAGCCAAAGACCCCCACCTTGGCCTGCTTTGATTTGTCAGCACGTGGGGGTCGGTCTCGGCAGAGCAGGTCCCCATTTGGTGTCGCGCCACATCCGTTTTGCTCTCGACAAGTTTCGACTGACCTCACTTCTCTGGTTCGGTTGACATGGCTGTCCGCAAGCTAGTTAGCGACGCACGCACGCACGCACACGTGCGCCGTGACGCACGACCAGGTCAGGAGAGCCACTTGGAAGCGGCGGCTCGTCCGGGTTGGCCCGGCCGCCATTGCGCCACTGACCAACTGCTTAATTATATAAAATTTCTTCTTGTCCCCTCTTGACTTATATGCAGAGGGCCGCGAATGCGTCAACTGCGGCGCCACCTCCACTCCTCTGTGGCGGCGGGACGGCACCGGCCACTACCTGTGCAACGCCTGCGGACTGTACCACAAGATGAACGGCCAGAACCGACCGCTCATCAAGCCCAAGCGCAGACTGGTGAGGACCTCGAATATGAGCAAAGAGCAGATGCGGTCAACACAATTGCAGGAACGCCATCGTCTTCCTGGAATTGTGCGTCCCCCCCCCCCCCCTCCCGGCCCCTCGTGATCCACTGCTGCACGGCCTGCTACAATACTGCTTCTCTTGCCATTGTTCCCGCTGCCCCGATTGCCGCTACCTCCGATACTGTTAGCAATAGCGATGCCCACCTTGCTTTGGTCGGTGCGGTAAATGGCAACACCGCAGCTATGACCAATCAATTTAGAATTGTCCCCAAAAGATGATTCCTGGCTTTCAAGGGGTTGCTAGAACAGTTGGAAACAAAAGGATATGTCATTGGTGGCAAAGGCTTCCAGATAATATGTTGAATTCCTGATGAAACATCAAGAAAAGTGTGTGTGACTGCATGCCTTTTTTTATTTTTATTCATCCAGCCATCCGTCATCCCGGCGGCTTTTCCTCACGAGGTCGTGGGGGGTGCGGGAGGGGGTAGGCTGGAGCCTATCCCGGCTGTCTTCGGGGCAGTAGGCGGGCTCTTGCCTGAAATGGTTGGCAGTATTCATCCAGGCCAGTCGTGATGCACTTAAAAAAAAAAAAAAAAAGACAAACCAAAACACACGACTCCAACAGGAATTGAAGTTGAACATCTAAAAGATGTCCTTTTCTGGCAACAATGTCACTTTGCACAACAAAGCAAGCAAACATTTGCTCCAAAACAATTCTCGGAGTCGTTTTTCTTTAGATGTTTAAGTCGGGGGCCCCGGGGGCATAATAGTTTTGTCAACCCATTTCTCACTCATGTCTTTGTTGTGAACTGCGGGAAAGCCAATTTTCACAACAGCATGGCTGAAAATATCAAGTTGAAACGGCCAACGTCAAATTGGATTGAAGTTTGTTGCGTTGAAATTTGGAGTTGACCCCACTTTTTTTGTTCGCTTGTTTGATTTTTGGGGTGGCGTGGCCAACTCAATGCATTTAGCGATACAGGACATCGTTTCCATGAGACCCGCCGCCCACCCTGCCGCGCGCACGCACACAGTGGCGTTTGTGAGGAAAAATTCCTTGAGTCTCCCTCGGAGGAAAATCCATTGCGGCCGGTCCTTTTTTGGGGCTGCAGCTTTTGCGTTTCCAAGCCAAGTGTTTGTCGGCGCCGCGTCGAGAGGGGCATCCAGTTGCTTCCTATCCGGATATCTGCCCGGCCCAGATAAGGAAGTCGGGCTCCCGGCTGTTTCCGCCTTCGGCCGGCGCGCCGCATTCTCTCCGGCCGCATTGACATGCACTGCAAAGAGATGATGACAACACGAGAGGAGCCGCTGAGGCGCTCCCGAGAGATGGACGGCAAGGGGCGCGGATTGGAAAATACGCGGCTTTCTGTTCCACTCGCGTCGATGCTTCTCCGTTCGCATGACTGCGATGAGGGCGCTTTCTTTATATGGTCACTCCATTGTGTGACGTCACCGCAAAACGAAGAGTCAGTCGGTTACCGAAAGGCAATATTAGCACCCGAATGAATGGGTTTCATTTCAGCAGGAAAAAAAGAAGGGGGGGGTGCTCACACAGCGCCCCCGGGGCTTCTTGCACGTCAAGTGAATGTCGCTTCTTACGGCTGTGACGGACGTAGCCGGCCTTTATCTGGCTATGTGTCCCGCTTTCTAAAGATGCTAACTAGCTTCTTCTTCAGTACAAGGCGGAACTTGCGTTTGGTGTCAAATTGCTGTTGTCGGGGTCCTTTACTCGTCAAGGTTGATGTAAAAATCCCCGCGGTCGCATTGTTTCCATTTCACGAGAGTGCTTTTGGGGCTTTTGTTGGTGATTCGCCGGACGATGCGGCGCGTTGCGACCCGCTGTCCACAAGCCAGTCAATTGCAATGAAGGATTGAAGGCGTTTTGTGTGCTCGCCGCAGTCGGCCGCTCGACGTGCGGGCACCTGCTGCGCAAACTGCCAGACCACCACCACCACCCTGTGGAGGCGCAACGGGAACGGAGACCCGGTGTGCAACGCCTGCGGCCTGTACTTCAAACTGCACAACGTAAGTAGCCCCCAAACATGCACCGGAGGGCGGGGTGGTCGCGGGGGTGGGGGTCCGCCGGCCGGTCGTTAACCGCCAGAGTGGGCGGACAGCTCGTATCGATTTAGGGGCAGAGAAAGTGCGAGCGTGAGGCAAAGCCGGCTCGCCCTGTCGAGCGGAAACCAACGGCCGTCCTCCTTGGTTTTTTTTTTTTTTTGTCTTTTTGATGAATCCATCGTTGTTTCAATGGGGGGCGGTCCTCCCCTGAGAGTGCGCGGGGTGGGACCGCCATTCAGTGGAACGGCGTCGGTTACACTGATGAGGATTTGTCTCAGATGGCTCCTTTCACATCCATTCAGGCCCTCGCCCTCATGTATTCAAATTGACCGCGACCACCGTTTGCTTTTGAATTCGACAAAAGCCAAACACTTCACCGACTCACCTTCTCATGCAACGAGAGTTTATGCAAAACAGCTGCTCATTATTTATAGCCTACCGGTTTGAATTCGGCATTTGAGTCAGGCACGCGCAAAGCAAAAGCCACTCGAGACGTTCCTTGGCAAAAATGCGCACGTCGCATTGCGTCGCAAGCGGGAAAAAAAAAAAACAACAACAAAACCAAAAACGGGCGTGGGGGCGGGTGGCACGATCAAAACCTCGTATTCATGATGCGTGCGTGTGCCGCGATTGTCCGGGCCCGCGCGGTGCTCACGTGTCGCTCGGCGCAGGTCAACAGGCCGCTGACGATGAAGAAAGAAGGCATCCAGACACGCAACCGCAAGATGTCCAGCAAGTCCAAGCGAAACAAGCGAGCGGGCGACGGCTTCGAGGAGCTGACCAAGTGCATGCAGGACAAGGCCTCTCCCTTCGGCGCCGCCCCCGGCCTCGGCGGCCATATGACCCACATGGGTCACTTACCCCCCTTCGGCCACTCGGGACACATGCTGCCGACTCCCACGCCCATTCACCCTTCCTTCGGCCCCCCCCACCACAGCAACCGCTCGCCGGTTTGGGCGGAGCCGCATTGAGCACCTATCCCCGCCGCCTCGCCGCCAACTCTCAAGGCCCGCCCCTTCCTCGCCATAGCCCGGCGGAGTCGCCGGGCGCTCGCCCGGAGCGGATCCGCGCACTTGCGGCGGATGGAAAACCAACGCGGGGAGCAAAACTCTGCGAGGAACTGCGTGTTCCCACAAGGATCGCGAGAATGGAGGTACCCGCCTCTCCTCGGCCCTCAGCGGAGGTCTTCAAAAGTTGTCGCTTCACCAAGCCGCCCCCTTCGATTCGGACCCGGGCTGAAAAACGCCTCGTTTTTGTCAAGTGGTTGCATGACCTCCACTTCAAAACTGGATCTGGATGCAGAGGATTTGTTTTTCGTGCAAGCACTTGACAAATCGCACGGCAATTTATTTTTTCCCCCCAGGGTATGTGCACCCTCTCCAAACGAAAACCGGCAAGGACACGTGGAGCGACAGCGCCTCTGCTTCAAGGCAGCGGGGCCAGACTGCAGTCAGCGCACACATACACACGCACACACACGCACAGGCCGGATCGCGCGCCACGGCGCTCCTTTTTAATAATGGCCTTTTATGGGGGGAAAAAAAAAAAGACAGCGTAAAGAGAGTGTTTATTAAATGCCTGATTGTTATTACGGTTGATATCTTTGATGTTATAATTATTGCTGCGATAATTTATTTTCACGCTTTTGTCAAAGACATACGGAAAATGTTTGGACGTGGATTTTACGGTGATGACGCAAAGGAAGATCACCGGCTTAGAGATGAAAATTCCCAGAGCTGTGCGTTTTGATCATTATTTCCATCACAGAAAAAGTGAAGAAAATAAAGTTTAATACTTAAATGGTATGTCACTGCTTCTTAAATTTGGTCTGGCTCTCTTTTTCCAATTTTTTTTTTTTGTCACCACGACTCTTATTTTTTTCTCCCCATTATAGCATAAAGTGTCATCGCACATCCACCTCAGTAGGGGGCGGTGGTGCTCTCATAGTCAGAGTGTGCGCCGCTGTAAGTTGGGCAGAGAATATTTGAGAAGCACCTCCAAACCTGGATGGAGGGGCTGAGACGAGAAGACCAAAAGAAGTGGCCCCACGACAGCGGCTCGCCACGGCCAAATCCACAAGAGAGCCGGATGCTTCAAATCCAAAGTGATATGCAGCCGACGCATCAAAGTGCGATCCCCTCGCTGCACGCAAACGACTCGGTCAGGCTGGGGGCTCCCCGCGCAAAGGCGCCTGGCTCAGAGAAGGCCTCCTTTGTGGAGCTCGGCCCAGACGCGAGCGCGTGCCGGCGTTCGCCGAGTCCGGACGGCGCCTTCAGCGGCTAGCGCGCTCCCCGAATTTGCGGCGTCATGAGAAAAGGTCGGCAAGAGTCGCCGCGCCTCCCTGTGCCGGCCGCCCTCTTTCTTGGCCCGGGCGATTGGAGTGAGAGGAAGGACAGCGGGTCTTTAGCGGGACGCAGAAGAGGAAGGAAAGGCAATCAGGCGACCTGAGCAAACACGCGGGGGTCTGCACTGAGCGTTTAGGCGCAGATGTGCGCGCAGCTGAGGCCGCCAGGAAGCGGGCCACTTGTTTCTCATCTCATCCTTTTTTCTTTCTCTTTGTTTGTTTTGCGCATGTTTTTCCACTCTGCCTCATTGCTTTCTTTTGGCGGTCCTCTTTTGGGGGGCTTTTTGGCAAGGCTGACGTTGCCGCTATTCAACGCACGCGGGCCTCCGCTCTCACTTGGAACCATTACACTCTGCCTCATTGCTTTCTTTTGGAGGTCCTCTTTTTTGGGGGCTTTTTTGGCAAGGCTTCAGCGTTTCTCTGACGTTGCCGCTATTCAACCTACGCGGGACTCCGCTTTCACTTGGAACCATTACGGTCAGATTTTGAGCAGAGCCCGCCCTTAATGAGTGCTCCATTAGGGCCAATTAGGGGTCTCGCGCACCTGCGAGACAAACCGACCCATTAAAAGACTCGCGTGTAAAAGTTGACTATCGTGCCCGGCTGAACTCTGCGGCCGGCTCACATCTGCCGCGGCGCTCGATCTGCGGGGCTTTCCCACAGCCGCGATATCAAGGCGCCCGTTGGATTCCGATCTCTCTCCCGCGTCCCGTCGTCGCCCGCCATGTCTCGCGAAATACCGCAGCTTCTCTCGTCGAGCGTTTGTTTTGTTTTTGGTTGGTACCCGAAATTCCATCTTTTCCCTTTCCCCGCATGCTTCGCAGCGTACAAAGTTTTCCGTCCCCGCCTATTCCAACACACCTGCTTCCAGTGATGAGCTCATCAGCGAGCTCTGTCGAGGCCCGAAACCATCATGAACAATTGAATCGGGTGCGTTGGGAGGAGGGAGGCCTCGAAAACAGGCAGGAGACGACTCTCCGGGACCCCGATGAGACAATGTGTGACCGGAGCGAAACAAACCGGCTTCATTCCCGATGCTTCAACTAATTTATTGGTGTCATAAATCAGCATTGGACGATCATTTTCCTCAGAGCGCACGACACCCGCCGACCCCCTCGTCGCCCGCCGGGGAAAAGAATGCTTGAGTGAACAAAAGCGAAGCATACGTCTGAAGCGCTGACGGCCTCCAAACGACCGAGTTCTTGCAGCTCGGCGCCGCCTCGCGTCCTCCGTGCAGCCGGCCGACCCCTTTCCGGGCTCAGGCCAGGGCCGCAGCGAGTCATTTCCTCGCCCGAGGCAAACATAGGCAGGGCCCCTCCCTCCGCCCCCTGACTTTTTCAAAATTATTCTTATTTTTTGGGGGGACGTTTTTGAAATGGGCCACCTTGTCTGGCTTTTCAAATTGCTTCCAATGAGCGATGGCAACGTGAGCAGGACCTCGCCTTTTGCAAAGTCACCTCGTGAATTACGTGACGCGACGGGGCCATAAAATAGGATGCCGCTTATCTGCGCTCTCGGCGGCGAGGCCCCGAGATCTGGGAGGCATCAGCGGGGCGAACCCGGCGGCCGCCGACGTCGCTTTACGACCTGACCACCGAGCCGGACGTTTGGGCTGGGTCCCACCCGCGACCCATCTCCTCCAGTTGGCCTTCCCCCAATGCGAGGCTCCGTCTCTCCGGGTTCCCCGCCCCCTCGCTGAACTCCCACGCGCTTCCTGTCTCCCGCTCCCCGGATGAATTTGTTTTTTCATCAAATTAAATTAGCGCCATCAAAAGGTAGATGGCGGGCATCCTTTCACTCGCTTGAGTTAGGGAGAGCGGCCCGCCCGAGATGAAAGGAAGTTGAGTGCAGTTCAGACGCAGGTCTTTGTGTGCGCGTTGCCGTTTGGGGGTTGACCTTTGCCTGGGCCCGGCTCGAAGAAAAAAAAAAAAGCACGGCTCCTTTCCTGGCTAAGACCCCGAGAAGGCGATGAGAGCAGTGACGGAGGACGGCGTGGCCGGCGGAACAACGGAGGACAGGCCTTTCCTGCCTTTTTGTTGAGCGACGCGAGCGCAAGAGCAGAAGTCGGACTCGGGCCGTGACGAAGCGGTGAGGAAGCACTTCACTGTCTCAAGCGTAAATGCCGCCAGTCACCGTGAGCGCGCCGTAAAAAGAGCCTTCTCATTGCAGGGGCGCACAGACGTTCGGGGAAATAGCGAGGAGAGGCGGGCCGGCCCGTCTTCCTCATACAGCTCGAGTGGAAATCTTTCGGCTCTCGGCTCCGTTGAAGAACATCGATATGAAGTCATCGAAAAAGCCCGAGACGCAGAGAAGCCGGGCTGATGGCGGCTTATCGGCGATGACCTCCGTCGACAGGAAACGAGAGCGTGCTGACCCGGCAGAAGGGCCAATCTCACCACCCCATCTCGCCGAATGTCAGAAATGAGCAAGAAAAAGCCCGAGGTGTTTCCGATCTTGCATCATTTTACCTTCCGATGACCCGGGCGGCCTCTCACGCCTTTTCCACCACTTTGAGGCCACGGGCCCTCATCACATGAACGGAAAGCATTTCAAAGTATAAACATGTTGAATTCGCATCGGTCATATGAGCGCTTTTCACATTCTCTTCCGTTGCCCCCCGCCGCCACATTTTAGGAGGTCAGTCTCCTCTGAGAGGTCGGCAGGGAGCATCTGGCGATGTTCACCTGGGACACTCCGGGCCGCATTCGAGCCTCCTTGGGCGACGGTCACCTGCTTCGGCACGCAAATTCCATCCCTACTGTCTGAAGACAAACGAGCCCATTCAGACCTGGGGGGGGGGGGGGCTTCCGTGCCTGCATAATGGCCCCCACCATGAGCAGCGCTCCCTTACAGCCAAATCACTTTCACGGGCGGGTAACTGGAGAAACGTATGAGTGGGTTGAGGACAGCTTGGCCCGCAGCCAGGCGACGGGGGGGACGGGAGAGGAGGACGCGGCGAGCCGCGCCCGGCCGAAGCTCCCGGCTCGCTCGGCTCTCCGTCGTGGGCTCACGATGGCTGGGCGGGATGAAGTGACACGGCCTTTCGTTGGCTCTCCTCAAGTCATTCTGGAGCGCGGCGCTTTCACGGCAGCGCCTGCGGACAAAGCCCGGTCTTCCACGAAAAACGGACGTATCCGAGTGGCTGCCATTTTGGAGATTTTGCAGACCGAACCGCAGGACTGGAAAGTCGGTGCGAGGGAAGCATTCAACTTAGAGGAAGGACTTGCGTGGCTGGCGACCGGCCAGTGTCGCTACGCACCAACGAAAATTCCGCCTCCCAGGTTGGCTTGTGGATTCAATGCGGCCACCGGAACAAAATACCGCCTCTGGCGAGAGGCACCGGCGCAACCTGGGAAGGGCTGAAAACGACCTGATTTTCAGAACATGAGCAGAAGGTCGTGGCTCCCCGTCCTCGTGGTGACGCAAGCTCGAGAGTGGCGCATAGAAATGGTTGGGATGGCTTTCCACCACGAGTGGCGCCGCCGCGGCTCACTCCAAAGAGAGGCCTTGGGGCTAATGATGAACCCGTGTCCCAAGATGCAACGCCGGCCGAACCGAAGGGGAAGATGGACGCCGCTTCACGGCGGAGCGAACCCCGTGGCCACCCGGCCTGCATTTTGGCAACGTCACGCTTTGACGGCAAAGCGACACTCATCAAAGAGTTTCCGCGCTGAGCGCACGTCGCACGGCGGACACTCGGTTTGTTTCCGCTCGTCGCTTCGTACTTCTGGCGAGTGCGCGGTTCTTCGCCACCGTCACCGAGCCGTGGGGCGACCCGCTGTGCTTCTCGTCTTCAATTTCTTGACGCGCCGCTTCGACCTCCGTGGGAAAAGACGCAAACGCGTAGCGGACAGCGGCTCCATTGAAACAAACAAAATAAAAAGAGAACACGGGAAAGTGAACCCAATCGCGATGCTTCGTCAAGACAAAACGGCGACGGTGGCCAAAAGTGACGACTTCTCTCAAGATCTCATTTGCGGCTCGAGTTCACGCTCGCAGTTTTGACTCGAAAAAAAAGCTTCGACTCCTATGACGTAAGGCACCCGCAATGGCCGACTGGAAAAGTTGAGCCTGTTGGTTTTTCAGAACGCGGCCGACATTACACAGAAGAGATGGCGAAATTTGTCAGAGGCAGAAATGATCGGTGGCATGATTAGCATTTGCAAGCCTATCTGGGGACGATCGGCCCGAAAGGGCATTGTGCTCACTCACTGGCGCCAGCGGGATGTTGCAACCCCAGCACCTTACGGGCGCTTATCTCTCCAGAGCAGACTGCAGCGTGATACGCATCTGTCATATTTGTCGGAAAGAAAAGACACCGCGGTGTGAGCAAGATGAGCAAAACTAAAAAAAAAAAAAAACCCAAAAAGCACAGCGACATCAACTCACTTCACTGCGGTTTCCGCACGACCGTCATCACTTGCTTGTTTGTGCGGTCGAGAACGCCACTTCGGACCGACA